GGATGCTATAGCTGCTAGAAAAAACACAGAGTCTAATTTGAGGTTATCTCAAGAAAAAAAGAGCTTCTGGGATTTGGTTACCAGTCAAATGTTGACTGTTGCTGTTTGATAAGTCACACTTGACTTGAAAGAACAAGCAGGGACGGATGCTACATCAAGTTCATGGATCAAAAGACCTCATGGTTTGGGAAAGGTAGGGTATTAAATTTGTAACTTAAACTCCTAGGAAAAGTTTTAATGTGTATTTGGGCATTTCAGAAGATGTGCAAAGTTCTACAGGGGGTGTGGGAGAGAAGGGGGAATCATATTAAGATACTGTAATAAACTATGGTAACTAATTTGCAAGTTAAGCAAGGCGGTGCTCTAATAAACTATTGTAACTAATTTGCTAGGCTGGGCAAGGTGGGTAGGTACACTTGAATGATCTGTAAAAGTTAAACAATTAAATGTAAAGTGGGCCATTCAGATTGGAACAATGTAACCGTGTCTCAGAAACCCCACCTAGAGCTGACATGTAACTGCTGTTTGAATAAAATCCAGCCAAAAGGATGAGATCATGAGACTTTTAAAAGATCCAATAGGAGAAAAGCGCGCCAGGAGAGCAAGGCTTCGAGACTTTCAAAAGACCCAATAGGAGGAGGACATGCACCCCAACAACTCAAATGACCCAATGGAAAAGAGCAGGACAACTATCTGATGGGAGGAGATTGGTTAAAGACAATGGCACAAGAGCATACAAAAAGCTGCTTTTTGGAACTGGGGGTGCGTGTGGCAGAGCTGCGGCTCTCCATGCACCCAGCGCTGCTCTGCCTATTGCTTCCCACCCTAAATTGATTGAACCCAAATAAAAATATATATTTTTATAAAAATTGGCTTTGTCTGATTATAACCATACTATTAATAAATTATTTTCTCTAATCCTCACTAATAATTTTTTATTTTATTTTATTTTTACAGTGAAGTTAGCGGCACTCCAAAAGGATAAGTGACTCAAGTTTTCTGGGGTTCCCTGATTTTTTTAATTTAAAAAACCCATATTGTCTATGCACATAATACAAATACACCTAGGGTCTAGACATTGATGACTTCTCTCCCCTTCATCAGCATTATTAATTGTCCTGGGTTGCAGTGTATTCTATTACCATCCTCATGAGCTGTTGAAATCAGGTGGGGCAGTGTTTCCTTGCCTCCTCCCCCCAGACTGTCTTTCTGTTAATGGCTCACCAATGCCATGCAGCATAACCCAGAGATAACTCCCTCTGGACCATCTTCTGTTAATGAGCTTAATCAACATTTGGCCTCATGAGTCATTATCCCATTGTGAGATGCTCCACCCAGAGAGAGGAACCAAGCATTCCATCCTGGATATAATCTGAGATTCTGAATACCAGAGACCCTCCTTTTCCACTGGATTTCCAGAGTACAGGAGCTACTTAGCCACCACTGGACTTTATGAGGAAGAGCAGACCTTCTTTCTACAGGATCACCGCTTCAGGGGGACTGCAGCCACCATTCTACCAGACTGCTACCACCCCCCTGATTAACAAGGTGTCAGGTTGTATCCTGACTCTGTTCGTTTAACCCAGTGTTATCTGCCTTTATATATTTTTTTCCTCTTTTTATTTCCCTATTAAATTGTTATTCTGACTTGGTGTCTCCCACTAGTTTGTTTTCAAACTAGTACATTAATACATACTTATTTATAAAAATTCAGCAGAATATTTTGCTACAATTGGGGAGGAAGGCATACAGGAACCAGCAGAGGTTGTCACAGCTAATTACCAATTACATAACTAATGACTATTAAATCCCATAGCTAATTACTAAAAGTAATTAATAAACACAAATACAAAACACTTTCTAGAAAGCCATTAAAATTCAAAGGATTTTGAAAATCTTACCCTTTATGTTATGCATGGACAGCAGTTCTGACATTTACAGCCATAACAACATAGTTACAGCAAATTTCTATGCACAGAGGGTACACTACTTCTTTCCCAGGGGAAAAACAAGACAAAACAAAACACAGGCCCTAGAGCAAATCAACTGAAAAATGAAAGACTGTTGAAAGTTGCCAAATCTGGTATCCTGACAGAGGTGAGGTTGTTACAGCTCCCTGTTTTCAATCCATGATTTAGAAGCAGTAGTGAGGCTGCATGTATGTTCCCAAGAGGCACACACACAGATTGAACACATACATGCATCAGGTGACACACAGATAGAAACGTGCAACGCTCAAACAAAATGGCACAACCAACCTCATCCTTCTCCAGCTGATCAGGAGGAAGGACGGTTCTGCCAGGAACATGTCTCTTTTTACTTCATAGTTTGTAATTTGGTGCTGGCCCACTATGATATTTTAGATGTATGGCTTCTAAAATCCTATTTAAACTATTTTAAACTAAGTGCCTAAAGATCCATAAATTTAAAGGACTCAGAGAGTAAACTCTTTAAAACCCAGTTTAGGCAACACTAGCCTAGAAGCAGAAGACCTCTTAAGATTCATATTCACACTAGGGCTATGAACAGCTTTTGTCTGCATCTGATAGCTCCAAGAAGATTTACTGCTAGACAGAAAGATAATTAGGTTTTACAAACATTACATTCAGTCATGAATGTTGGGACCTACCTTTCCTGTACAGGAAGTTTGTGCACGTCAGTGTAAATTCAGAAAACTTCCGGATAAAATAGGATTAAGATGGAATTGAAAAATTGAAGCCTTAGAAAAAATAGGTCACCAAAATGCTTACGAATTCAGAAGAGTGATGTTTTTAGACAACGAGTCTTAAAATCCAAAAATTCAAAGTGAAATTTCACAGTGAAATGCTCTTCCTCAAAACTTTCTCATCATTTTCAATATGCTACCTCTTCCCATTATATCAGCCCAAATTAAATTAACTGCTATTCTGCAGTTATAAAAAGACAACTTATCAAATCATAAAACTTTCTCCAGTTTTCTCACTGTTTCACTGTCTACTTACCTCATAAGGTGTTTATTCTTTTGACATGTTAAAAGATTGTCAGAATCATTTTCATATTCTATACAGATATTAAAAACAGTTTAAGTTTATAAAGTGTTATTAAATCCCTGTCAAAGCCTAAGGCTTACAGAGTGAAAATATATTCACATCTGCTTTCCTTATAACATACAGTGATATAACAATACTGTTTTCTTTTATGGTACAGACCTGATACTGAGAACATCCATTATGATTCTTCACTGACTAACAACTCCAGACTAGAAGTTCCACACCATTATAAAAATATAAAGTATAGGCCATTGCCTCAGATTGCCAAAACAGAAGTAGAAATACAAACCAGGGTTGTATTTCCATGTTAAAAAAAATAAAAAAAAAAAAGTCAGAGAGAGCTTGAGGACCCTACCACAGATTTTCAATACCTCTTTATTGTTAACATGAACCCCAGAGTGGTTTAGCCTGTGCCACCCAGTACTCTGTCAGACTGTACTCACACGTGGTGGGTAAGGCAGCATGCCAGAAGTTGTTCCTGAAACACAGTATGTATGAACAGGCCTGCACCAGGTTTGCCTCCCAGCAAATATAGTCCTCCAACATGATTGTCCTGGTTCAGCCAGGATAGAGTAAAGTTTTCCCCAGCAGAGAGAGAGGGGGAAGGGATCTCCAGCCGGGTTATTCATACCATGCTGACGTCAGGTCCAGGGGCAGAAACTTTTCACTTTCGCTTCTGGTGTTGGTTTTTGCCATACATGCGGCGGGTTTGCTCCGTGATCGCTTAGCGGTATTTCTCTGTATATCTTTTGTCTTGTTCACTGTTATTGCTGTTTATTGTTGTTACCATTGATACTGTTGTTGTTCAGATTGTTCTATCACTCTGTTGTATTAAATTTCTTCTTATTTTAGCCGGGGTCTGTGTTTAACTTCCATCCCGATCAGCAAGGGTTGGGGAGGGGCAACGGCAACGTGCTCTCTCATCCCGGCAAGGGTTAAACCTTGCACAATGATCCTGTTAGGCATTGCACTCCTAGGCCTATCTAGCTGAGATGGTACATATACATTACTCTTGTAATGAAGCAAGTTTACACCTCAGTTTCACAGAGCTTCACATACACAAGCGAAGACACTTAAATGTAAAAACATTACAAAGAAAACTATTTACACTATACTTACTTCAGCATATTTTAAAAATCATTATTCTTCATTACATTTAAGTGTAGGGATCACTATATTTCATTCTTTCCCTTCAGTATTAAAACATTGATATAGATAGGGAAAATAGTTATAAAATTCAGATTAAAAAGTACTTTCTTAAATTATATTTCCTCATTATTAAGTCTATAAATGTGTACTAAAAATATATCATCATATTAATTTTTAAGATAATGCTCTTCAGAAAATCCAAAACTAATAATAACCCCCATCCCCAAAAGAGATTTCCTCTCTCTTAAAGAATCCTGTTTGGATTCATTATCCATAACTTAAACTTTGTGGAAAAAAGGAGAGGGCAATGCATAGAGTTTAAGAATAAATATTTCAGCTCATACTACTTCTGGAATTATGGAATACATTTTTAATGAAATGGCAATACTGCAGTTTTATAAATACAAGAATGATATTAATTTATTATGGTATATGTGTTGAAGCACACATTCGGTAATCCTCCCAAGCCTGTGTTTCAACAAAAGAAAGCATTTAAAATCATAAAGTATTAGGCACACTTGAGTTACATCCTAACAGAGGCTTGAAAAGATCAAAAAGTTCTATTCCAGTTTGGCTGAAGGGCTCACATCATGCCATGATGCAGAAATAATTCTGTAGACAGTAGGTTTATTTAGTGCTTAGCAAAACATAGCAACTCAAAAATTTCATAGTGTTAAAGCAAAAATTAGGATAAAAAAGGAATTAAAAAAAAAAAAAAAAATCCCACCCACCTACACTTTGAACATTGTATTTCATCTACCAGACTTGATTAACTGCAACATTAGCCAGATCACCACACTGACAGAAATATAGAATACCCACCTGTTTTGGGGTCAACAGAAAAATATGGCTGTCCCTGAAGAATACTGTACACTACTCTTGCACTGTTTCCGTATGTAGGGTCATCTGCATCTGTGGCTGTGACCTGTAGAACTGATGTACCTGTAAATACAGGAAAATAAAAGTTAACTGATAATAAATATAATTTTCTGATTAATATACATTTTTTAGATGCAATTTTGAAACCTCTACAGTCCTCCTACAATTGAGATTAATAATATTTTCTCTACAAGTTATCATCCTATCATATTTTTAAGGAAAACTATTTATACTCATTTAGAAAAACACTTTTTCTCTTTTTCTCTCTGTAAGTATATGGCTTAATTACATATTTATAGACAAATACTAACTACATAGCATGCATATTTTTACATGTTCACACATTTAGATCCCAAACATGGATATTGCTTAGACTTCTGAACAACTCATATTTATGAATTACAGGATTATCTTCATCCACAATACAAATCAATGCTGAAGTACATATTTTAAAAAATGTGCATAAACACTTCCAAATCAATAAAAGATACGAAGGGAATAAAAAAAATCTAGCAATTGGAAGGCATCAAAGATCTGAAAATGAAATAATTACTAGAACCTTGTAGGAATTCCAGTGATGGATCCAAATTAGAAAGATAAGGAGTTCAAAAGACAAATCTTTGTATGCTGTTAACAAATACCATTAGAAAAATAAAATCACAGTTTCTAGCATGTCACTAAGTGGGATAACTTATGACTAACACTTTGTAGAAGGTAAAATGCATAAGTACTGCACAGATAGAGACAAGTTATTTTACATTTTACTAGTACTTTTCAAGACATTTAATAATGAATTTTTGCTATCACCACCCAACACTTCACATAAGAAATAAGTAAAAGAAATATTAGCAAGTTAATAACGGTTCAGTCTTCATCCCATTTGTTTAACCTTCTACAGAAACTGCTTTCTACAGAATCCTTTAGCCCAGTATAAAAATACAGAAATAATAATAACACAGGCTTCTCCCATGTAATTCTACGTCTGAAACTGACTTCTCAGTTAAAGTAGCCACTGAGGCATCACCTCCACTCTGGGGTGTTCCATTTCACACCTTTATTGTGAGAAGAAATATGTTTTTGAATTGAATCCCCCGATCTCCCCCACATGTACTTTGATTTGCCTCATGGAACAGTTAAAGACCATGCTAACTAGATTCCTTTGGATGAAACTAAACCAGAAGATGTGCTTCAGCAGCACATCTGATTTATTATGACTGCTAATCGGCATTTAGTCTCAGACACCAGACAAGAGCTAGCCTGGAATAAGACTTCACAAAAACATAGGGTGTGGACATTGGATCCTCAGTTCCAACTGTTTTACTTCATAGAACAGTTTATGTTGCACAGAACTGTTTGATAATGCGCACACCCTCAGTGTACTCATGGAGTCTCACTTTGAGTACAACAAAGTAAGCAAGCAAATCTTCATAAATTTGGATTCTTCATTGTTTGAGAAACTATTCATTCATTTGTGCCACACTAACTTGAACACCAAAAGTTGATTTTTGTATCTCTACTGGAGATTTAGTAAAAGGTACAGCAAATGTGTCTACATACTTAAATATAGTGTCTTCTGGTTTCTGAATAGCCCAAATACATAGTCTTATAGATAAATATATTAACACAGCAAATATAAGGATACCTTGATGAATTTGAAGTTGAATGCTGTAATAAAATCAGGCTAGAGCTAGCAGTCTGTTCATAGTTATTCAGGAGTTAATGGTAAAACTGACTAATTTACTGTATTTGGGGTTACATGGTAAGGTAAACAAATACAATTAATTTTTTTCTTAAAAGTTCTAGGAATCTATTCAGTCATATTTATTTCCTATCTAAACTTAGAATAAGAGTTCCTGCAAGCCACATTATGTCACTTTAAAGAACAGAAAATGCATTTTTTTCCCCCTAATATATAGCTTATCTAAATACTACAATGATCTATTTCTGTAGCCCATGTTGGCAATAATTTCTAACTTGAGGTGGAAAAGCTGTGACCCTTCTATCTTCTAGTTAAGCTTGTTGTATTGAAGGGTGTCCACACTAATTTGTTGGTTTACCTTTATTCAAGGCTTCATTATTTTACATTGGAACCTTGTGAAATCATTAAAGATTTATAGGTTGCTGGTACACAGTGACTACATTTTTTTTTTATTTGCACACAATAAAAACATACCCATCCAATAGGTATAGTCTGTCACCTACCAGAGTTTGTTAACCATAGTGCTGGGCAACTTCTGTACCTTTTTATCTATAGATTTTCCTGCTTCCAGGAGAAGCTACCAACAGTTGCCTGCTCATTCAACAGACTGAGTTCCCATTTGCACTTTTTCCCAGAGTTCTAGAAAATCATGGTAGGTTTTGGAATGGATTAACAGATTTTGGCTTTTCCTGAAGAAAATAACAGAAATGCTGGGGTTTCACAGTTCTCTCATTCTTCAGAGACCTTCTTGTCTCCTCTCCTTAATTTAAAAGGTAGGGGATAGAATCTGAGTGCTCGTCTTGCTCATTGATGTGGGACAAAGAAACATGGCTAGTGAAAGGCCATACCTCACATAAGCAGCTGACAGGTCACTTTAGCATGAATGGAATGCTATTGTACCTTAAAATTCACCACAGTGATTTTCTAATACAGCTGTATCCCTCTCGAAGAAACACCTGATAATAGTAATTTGGTATTGAAAAGTGGCAAAATGTTCTATTTCCACCTAAAAGAACACTTAGAATCACAAGTTTTAACTCCCCACCCCTCCTCTCAAACCCTCATTCAGTGCAATGTAGCTCAGCAGCTGCTTAACTTTTTCAGTGTATTACACAAGCACACTCAGCATCTTATACTGGCCTTTTGCCTAACTCTTGACTGATTTGCTGAGCACAGAGGAAAGACATCTTGTGAAAACTGTGGGTTAGAATGCCTTGAGAGAAAAAAAAGGTAAAGAGGGTACCTTTTACCTTCCAATTACTTCTTTTAAAATTAGAATAATTCAGCTCATCAACAAGACAGACACATCACTATTCCAAATATATTTATACCATTCAGATGCAGCATCAGTTTTTGCTGTTGAGCTACATATAATGAAGGATTTTGATGGAAAAGTATACCATACAGTTACCTGTTTTTAATGTTAACAATTCTGAAGACAATTATCTAATACAAAAAAATAAGGAACTAAGTTCCCTAAAGACCACAGATCAGATATGAACATCAGACCCAGAGGCATATCTTCCATACTTTCTTCACTAAGCTGCTGCCAAGAAAACCTCAAAATTTTGCTATGAAAGCATTTTGACACTCCATTTAGGCAATAAAAAAGATTTTTTTCCCCAAAGTGGAGGCTCTGCTTATTCAGAGTACAACTGCCTTTCCACATGATTTCCCACTACAATTTAGAGATTATATATTAGGAATTCTTTCTCAGCCAATGCTTTATACAGAGCTGTAAAATATGTCTGCATATTCTAACACCACCCTGTAAGCTTTGTCTTTTTCCTGTTAGCAAAACCAAGGATCATTCCATTTGGAAAACAGAATTGTAGTTTTATTTCAAAATAACTTCTTCTTTCTCTTTTTATATGTTTACATAAAAAAATTTGTAATGTTACATATCAAAGAAAAGCTGAAGGTAAGTACTTCAGTCTGTCTCTCTGAAGACAAATTTTTAATGTTTAATGAGGCAGTTCAATAAAACATGTCTGTTGAGAATGCAAATCTGTATGCATGACTTTCCATAGTTTGCTGCAACTGTTAAAATCTCAGATGGATGAATATTGAATAAAAAGTAAAATAAGTGGAAAAAAATGGTTTAATGAACACAGAGATTTCCTGCCTAGCTAAACTAATTCTTAAAATTGTCTTAACACACTAACAAAACAACACAACGTGTTTTAGTTTCATTCTACATTAGAAAACAGTGATTTTGCCAGGAAATCAACACTTCCAGTGACTATATTACTGATTCAAGTCCTCATAGCAGAAAAGGTCAGTGTTTTGTCTGTTAGCTATCTTCATTAGAAGATAAAAATCAAGCAACACAGGAGAATGGCACTTCTCACACAAATCACATTTATGGACACCATAAATACTGTCTTCCAGATTATCTGAAATTATGACTACATCACATTATAATACCCTGGAAAGACTTTCAGTAAAGTCCAATGTGTCTATTAATTTCCTAAATAGAATTTATTCTTCTTATGCATGACCTCAACACTAGAAAATTTAATATGCAATTTCATTCATTTTGAAGCTTTCTGAAAATGAGCAGATATGGAAGGCTTTTACTGATGGAAAAAAATATTTTTATTTCTTTTTACATTTAGATGATGACTCATAAGCCTTAAAAAAGAGCACAGTTACAGGTCTCAAGGAAACTGAGTTTTTTACACACAGAAGAAATCATTTCAGATATAAACCTTGGTTCTTGAGCCAACTCTTAGGAAGAAGGTTCAGTGAAGGCAAGGAATAGGTGTTTTCTTTCTGCTCTTTCAGCATAGTACATAAAGCATAAATAATATGTTCACTTTGTGCCACAGTGAACACCGTGAACTAATATTTGGCAAATAATTTAAAAACCTTACCTGTACTTTCTTGTCAGTGACCTAAACCAAGAAAAAACATAAAGATCCTACAGCTTTTACACGTAGATCAAGAAATGTTCAATTTGTGGGAAAAATACTAACTAACTTCCTGAGGAGACAGACAGGAACCTGCTGCTGAAACTAAACAGCATAACGAAGATCAAAAATACTACCTGCCACTCAGTATGAGGGTTGTTACAGAGAGACAGTAACATTGAACATTCTTTAAATTACCATGTAAAAAGCAGAAGAAACTTTTAAAGTAGTGAGGCATCCTTAGGCATTCTAAAATAACAAGAAGTTTGGTTATGTATGGACTCCACAACTAAATGTCAAAAACCATGCTAATTACAGAACTAATAAAAATGGCATAGAGATCTCCATTACTTGAGATAAAGAATGTATCCTGCGGAAGCAAAAATAGAATTGGTCTTCCTGAGATTGCAGACAATAAAATGCTTTCAGTATGCCACAAATACAAACAAATCAATAAGGGAAAAAAAAAATAATTATCATAAATTTGCAATGAAATTATATTGTATGCCTACAGTAGATTGACTGTATCGTGGGATATGAGAATGCAGTTTTATTCACACAGCAGGAAAGCTTTGTGGAATAGATAATTTAATGATTTACCTCAGGTACAACCAGTATAGTATTTCATTTATAAAACATATGCATTAATGCTTTATTTTATCACTAAAACTTCCTTGGTTTACCATATCCACTCTGTTTTGTAACCCAAAATGCCATCCCAGACTAATTATTCTAATTGTTCTTTGGAAAACAGTAACTTGTATAATGTAATTGTACAGTAATACCAAGATACAGACTACTACAGAATTATGAATAATATCTATATAAGAGTACTACATTTTGAGAGGATTTAAAAAAAAGAATTTTTATAAATAGAATTAACAAATAAAAAATAATTATATTAGCTACTTTTGACTTTGAGGATAACATTGAATTCCTTTCTGCTGTCTTTCCTCCTATGGAAAAAAAAAAAAAAAAAAAAAAAAAAGGCTTCCACAGGGGAAGGAAATAGTCAAGTAATTGGAATGGTCTCTATTAAAGACAAAGGAAACTGAAGAAAGAGGAAGACAGACTTATGCATTTTTGGAGACAGTCAATAAAGGAAATTAATTTTACATCAAGACAGTCTGTGGTGTGATGAAAGACAACTGACATGAGAGCTTAGATGCTACTGAAATTAGCTGCAACTCTAACAGCTTTGTGCCACAGTGAACTATCAAAGACAAATGAAGAGGTTTTGTATAGGCCCATAATATTCTTACTGGGGGTTCTATCCCCTAACTGTAGTACTTCCCACAAAGGTGTATTGCTTAAATAGTCCTGGTGTTATGACTTTATTCACAGAAATACTGCCCTTCTGTACTTTCACAAATTTCTCTTGGGAATGGTATTTTCAATAGTATGCTTTGATGGTTGAAATAGGGAGTTCTACGTTAAAAACCATATTCTGTTATACGCACTAGCATCATTGTGTGTACGGGGTGGAGACCTACAGGTTTATAGCTCTGAGAAGTAAAAGATGAGATCAAGGAAATCAGTATCTGAGAGGAAGCTATGGTTTAAGAGACAAATGAACAATTTACAAATTATTTTAAGGAATCAAACCATATTTGATCTATAATCTGAAAAACTTTATTAGCTGGATACTGACCAAACGAGAATGGTTAATAAAGATTGTTCTTCTGGTAGAGATCCAGAATAGGCTATTAGAAATAATAATGTTTATAAAAATGATAATAAAATGTGGGAGGTGGGGGGAAAAGAAATTACAAGCAAAAATTAGGCAGCATTTCCCAGTTAGAGCGAAACAGACAGTGGAAATAAGAAAATTCATAAAAGGGAAGTTGAATGATAATATGGAAACAATGACCTATGAAAGAAGAAGATAGAAGGAAATAAGAGGAGACCAAAGAAAGATGTTTTTCCCTTCATGTATTCTTGTTGCAAGAGGGACCACAGGAAAAAAATGGCTTAGGGCTCTCCACAGCTGTGAAGAGACATCTGAAATAGCACACTGTGGCAGGACTTGGAAGAGAGGACTGGAAAGGTAGAAAAGTGCTAAAAAGTACCTACAAAGAACACAGTATTAGGACAAGACAATTATGATGGGGACAGGTAGATTATTTTCTACATCATTTATGGGGGTCATTTTGAGAAGAAAATCAAGGAACTGCTCCCATGTACCAGTGTAGTGGCAGTGGAAGTGAGAGAAAGGAAGAAGAGACAGTAATAAAGTCAGGGGAAAAGAAAGAGAATAGGGGACTTTTTTTATATAATTTTAAAACATGATATTTGCTAAGCTTGAGAGTTCATTTAATACAATCTGCTTTTGCATGGTAGATAGGAAAAGATACTTATTCTCTATTTCTTACATGACCAGTGCCACTTAGGTCAAGGAAGAAGCTACTGGTGTAAAAATCAGTCTCTGATTCCAAACTCACAGCTCTGAACTCCACGGTTCGGGAATAAGATTTAATATATTTGGGTCTTTCCATGACTGGTATGATTACTAAATGTTTACAAATATTTCATATGCCACACTTCATTTGTATATTCAAGAAAAAAATTGCAAATATGTTTGGAATGCACTATATTTACTATGCACATCTGTGATAGTAGCTGTGGTTTTAGCCTGTTTAGTCGCTACACATGAAATATTTCTTTGCATGCTGTGAAACTGTATGCAGTTCAAATAGTCTGCTGACTTCCACAAACGGATTAAGCTTCTGTCATTACACAACCATGGATGTCTGAATTCAGCATAATAATGTCTGGTGATACCACAGAAGAGGAACAGAACACAGATTCCTAGTTCACAATTAATTTCACATAATCTACATAAGGAAAGATGTCCAAGGTACTTTCCCATCCAAAATAATTATATTAACAAAATATGTATCTAACTTTTAAGTACATAATAAAACTCTTGCTATTATTTTCTGATCTATTAATGAGTGATCATTAATATTCAAAGTGATCAAATGATGAAAATCCAATAAGATTCAATGATGATATTAATTCATTCTATGTATGATCAATATTGTTAAAAGAGTTGAGTAACTACTTACATTTTAATATTTTTCCCTTTTAATTTTTTAAAATTCTACTCTGAAGTCTGTCACCTGCTTGTTAGACAAACAGCAAGGAAAGAAAAACAAATAATCTACTTTTAACTTGGGAAATACAGACACAACTTGGATTTGAAGGTTGTTTCTTAGATGGGGTGTGTGTGGACTTTGGGGGAAAGGGAAAAGTGTGTGTTCATGAGGTAACTATCTGTACTGTCCATTCAGTAGTAAAAGACAGCAGACATCTTTCACAAAGACCAGTCACGACAGTTAACCTTTCTTAGAAAAATATCTAGCACAAAAGTCATATTTCCATCTGTCTATCATAGATTAGTTATGTAGCTTTTATGTTCTGATATTAGAGGAAAGTTATAAACTAATTTAAACAGTAGAGACTCAATAAATAAAGATAACTGACTACATAATATAACACCTCAAAGAATAAAAATATCTAAACTACATTTCTAACAGGGAAAACCAAAGACTGGTACTTTTTGAACTTCAGTTCACTTTATAAGAAACTTAATAAAGGTAAATAAATATATGACACCATGGTCTAAAATAATCTATAAAACTACTGTTCCTTTGTATTTGCTTAATTCTGTTAATTGCATAGACTATTCATGTAGACATAAGAGAATGCCCTAAATTGTGCACTTGAGTGACGATATACGAATACATCTTGTTTTTAGAAAGTACCATTTGCCCAGGAATGTCTGTTAAAGCATTCAAGAATAAGAGTGACTTTTTCCTACAGTCAGTCAGTCAGTCAGTCAGTCAGTCAGTCAGTCAGAGTGTGGGGGGGTGTGTACACTCTTTTCTTAATGTGAACATCCCAAGTAACATCCAAGGTTGCATTTGATGTTTTCTTATCATTTCTTCTCAACTGTAATATCTTTTACATACAATCAGTGATACAATAATGTGTCATAATTTTGTCAACAGTATGTAGCATTTTCACTTATTAAAAGATTTTTGAATAGAACAATTTGTTTTCCTTACCCATTTCAGACATCTCTGGCACAGTAACAATGTATGGTCCATCTGTAAATTTTGGTGCGTTGTCGTTGATATCCTGCACTTTGATAATAAATTCAGATTCAGGCTCAAGTGGCTTGTTTGTCCGTCTATCAATAGCTTGGGCATGAAGCACATAGTGTGTCTTCTGCTCTCGATCTAGGCTTTTGGTTGAATGGATGTCTCCAGTCGTGTCATCAATAATAAATATAGTCCCCGCCCCTTCTCCAGTAAGAATGTATTTGACTGATCCATCACCTTTGTCGGAATTGGAGTGCAGCTGTAGAATATACACATAAAATCATATAAAGTGACATTAAATTTCATAAAAGGTTATTGCACATAAGATATAAAAACTATAATACTACCGTTACCACCATTCTACTTAATTTTTAACCTTTCCACCTCTTGCCATAATTCTTCATGTGCTATTTCTGGCAAGTCAATCATTTTGTTCAGGGTTATTTCCTGCCAGCATAGTTCACTTTTTAAGCTGGGATTTCTTGGGTCCTACACCCATTCTAGAAAACTTCCCAAAGTCAATAATATACTAGTAACTGGGGTGGTTTTTATTTTATTTTGTCTTGGCTCTAGTTCTTCTAGTAGTTATCTTACAGCACTCATGGCTATAAACTCTGCCTTAAGTACTAAGCCTAAAGCAGTCACACTGAGGATCGTTTGCTTCAATGACTGTAGTTCAGTCCTACCACCTAGGTTATCTTCTGTGGACAGCATCCACAAATGAAACTGTGTACTGTGGCAGTGACAGATGTCTGTCCAGGATTACTTAACCCCTCAGCAAAACACAGCCATTGTCTCTGTTTTTTGTTTGTTCACTTTTAGAAAGTTATTTATAATGAAGTAATGAACTTTGGCTGATACTTCCAGCTGTTTCATTGTTCATTTTGTGCTATGAAGTATATCATACCTCTTCTTGAGTAGAATAAATCTTTTACTGGGGAGGGAGAAAAAAATCACTAAGTACCTTGGTGTATTAAGAGATAACATGAAACAGCTACCCATTAAGTCTCAGTGCTTCTAACTTGACTAAAGAATTGCCTGTTTAGATTAAAAATGAACATGGTTCTCTGAAAAGGAGCAGTGATTTTTGATAGAGGCTTTGTGTTTTTTTTCTTTAAAATGACTGAGAACAGAATGTATTTATTGAAGTGCACAATGAGAACTAAGTGCTAATGCAGAAATGAACAGTCTCAGGCATTATGCAGTTATATTCTGATGATAAATCAGAAGAGAAATTTTTTAATTTTAAAAACTCACTCATATTATCCCACTGCCCTGACTACCTTTCAAGTATCTGCAATGTGGCATTACTAAGTTTCTATACAGAATCTGAACAAAACAGAAGCAGAATGCCGGGTATTATTTTTAATTAATGGAACACAAGGTGTCAGTTTCCAGACTCCTTTCCAGTCTCAGTTCAGAAACTATTTAGGGTTGGATTGATAGAAAATAATACTTTGGAGATAGAAATCATCTTTTTTTTCTGACTTAAATCATAAGATACAGAGGTGTTGCTATTTTATCACTCTGTCCTTGTGTCTTTTTTTGCCAGGTCGTCATCTTGCCTTTAAAATTATCTAGCTTGCTATTTGTAAAAGGAGTAAACGTACAGTGCTTGATGACATTTTTAATCTCACGTATTAAATCTACGAAACTATGGTGTCTCACATAATTTATATCTTGTCCTGTAGTAGGATTTGGGAGGAAGAAGTCTAATAAAATTGTCAGCTCATATAAACTTCAGTGTAACTTCAGTCAATGTACCATATACTTACTGAGCCACAAGGAGATCTGACTGAATAACAAAAACAAAACTGAGTCACCACTGTGGACCCATATTTTTAATACTGAAAAAGGAAGAAAGAAAGAAGCTGAGGAAGGGTCATTTGCTTGGTTTTGCCTTTATGGAACTGCAGGGCAGTCTTAAACCTTTCCTTTAAAGTAGTGATGGCCAAAATTGTGGTTACATTTCTTTTTAGATGCAGAATAATAGTGTATTCTTTTAACAAAGGAATAGTTAACTCAATGTAAAATGCCAGGGATGCAAACTTCCTATAAAATCAAAATGTTCTATAAAAAGACTTATTCTTAAAAGCAAGAATAATAGGTATTCTGGTAATCTAACCATGGTTTGCTGGTATTCTGATTTTCAGAAACAATCAGAATTGGTTTTCTTTTGCTGCAGGTTCCTTTTTTGAAGATGAATCCTAAGTATGAGTTTTTGCAAATGTTAACATTTGCCTCAGAAAGGTTGTCTCTAATTTATGGGAAAGAAACTCAGGAGAAAATTTGTATGCCCAGGAAAACGACAAATTTGCTGAGTTTATGAAGCTATAGGAACCCAGGTTAAAACTATCTCAAACTGAAAAAGATGAGAAGAATCTCCATCCTCTTTCTCTCCTATTAACTCTGCATGCATATATGTAAAAGTATATTCAGGTATACAATATAAAGATCCCAGCAAAAAATCACTGTAGTTGTATATTAAACTATGAATCAGTTAAGAAATTATTACATAAGTAAGAAATCCATAGAATAAGGAACTCTGTAGAATGTAATAAGTAAGAATTTTTCAAAAACCCCAAATATCAATGGGTTGTTCTAATACCATAGTGCAGAAAGGCACATTCAGAAATTCACTGTGATGGCATGAGATACATAGAACATTTGGGAAAGTAGTAACATTAGAAGTTTTATGTTGTGAGGAAACAGCTATGTGCCCTTGTTATCAGTGAAGAAAATCCAAGTACATTTTAAATTAGGGGGTTTTTACATCTAACAAGTAATGAAAGTTAAGAAACAAAAGATTCTCACCTGATTGCACAGCCAACCAATTATATGTTATTCCTGCTAAGCATCATGTTATGCAACAAACTTCGATAGAAAAATGCAGCAGGAATGTAATTAGAAAAAAAATATCTGGGTATTAATAAATACTGAAAGCCTTCAATTTGCAACTGGGTCTTTGACACTGCAGGTGTAAGCCAACAATTGAAACAAGAGAAAGCTAAGAGAAGTTCCTGCTTCCCAATTTACTAGTGTTTCTTAAATAGTTTGAAAAACAACACTTTGATTTATGCCTTTTAATTTCTAATGCTGAATTTTAAATTCACATAGAAGGATTTTGCACAGCACTTCTACTGCATAACAAAAGGGCCTTTTGTATATTTTGGTTTTTCTGTAAAGATTAAATAACTGTTTGTCTTCTTTAATACTTCCATCTCAGTACAAATTAGCCCAAATAAAAAAAGTATCAAGGCTTCTCTTAAACATTTATTTGGAATATTTGTTGTGCTGAAGAGACCCCCTGGGAATCCCTGTTTAAGACAATGCCCACCAGATTAATGACAGATTTATGTCCCTGAGCATGGCATACTTTTCTTTACCCTGTGTACTATGAAATCATCTCCACAACAGGTGGATTATTCCACAAAAGCATTTCTAATTAGAATAAATGTGACTCACCACTTAGGTTACAAATACAGAGTTTGGCAGACTGTGTTTCTGCAGCTGTGTCCATAATGACTTATAAAAGACAGCCAGGGAGCCAAATCTAGCTGGACAATAGTGGACTCTCTACTTGGGACTGCTGTCACTGTTTCTTTCAGATTAATTTGACAGAGAGGGGGATGCTGCTAAGCAACAGACAAGCCAACATGTTCTATTCACCAGTTCAGACTTAACTTGTGTGACCTGGGGAAGACATTTCAACACAGATCTCTAGAAAGGGTGTGGACATTTCATATCAATGAGATTCTACCACCTCTGCCAATGACTACTGCAAGAAGATGTATACACTAGAGGATGAAACACTTGCATGCTGTAGTAATGTGACTAAAAAGCTTAGATAAACACAAAATGTGGTGTTATTTTTTTCCCCTGTTGTGGCAGTCAGAGACAGAAAGTTGGAACATTGCAGGAGTCTTCTAATTTAAAAAGAAATACAAATGCATCATAAACAAACATGATTACTCATAATGTTGAGATGAGTAACAAGCACTGAAAAGAAATACAAGGGAAGTATGCCAAACATTAGAACACAGTGCTCTGATTTCTGTATCAGAGGTTTTAACTCTGTGAAAATATTACTGAAAATGTCTTTCAGTAGGCCTTAGTTTCTATGATAGTACATTTCATCTGATGATTATGTATTAATATGTGATATTAACTTTTAATTGCAACTTAAAGATTTTTTTTTTCCCTTTTAAAATTGTTTCCATTTTCTCCCCTAAGCGATCTCAGCTTAGACCCCAAACCCTATTTTGAAAACATGCCTAGTTAGAGACTAATACAGCTTGCACTCACCACTTAACCCTATCTAGCCCCCAAGGGCTCCTCCCACCCTGCCTACGGGTCAGGACCTCATTACAGTCCCCCCTGGCCACCAGACCCTGCCCAGCAATGCCACAGGATGGCTTGTCTCCAGTTCCCCGGAGCCCTGCCCTGCCCAGCTGAGCCCACCTACAGGACCATGGCCTGGCCTGGCCCCGTCTTCAGAGAGGTGCCGGATGGCTGGGGCTGCTCCAGTGGATCCTGGCTGCCCTGCACCTGGCTGGCCCTGCCTTGACCCCCCTGGGCGAGTCCTCAGTACCCCAGACTCAGGGAGCCACCTCACTCGGCCGCTCCCTGACAGCAGTGTCTCCATCTCCCAACTTCTATCCAGTGCAGTCTTCTGAATTTCTTGCAGAAATGTGGTTTCTAGACTAAGTGATGAGCTGGCTTTTGAAAACAATACTGCTTATTTGGTTATGCTCCTAACACGAACATATCCATTAAATATTCTGAATCTGTCCACAGCCAAAAGCTGCCAGAAAGTATTTAATTTTCATCCTGTTAGGCATTGTTCCTGTCTTTATTTCTCTGAATTTTTAGGGAAAGAAGAAACTGAAAATAATAGCTGAAAAACGTACCTGGAATGTCACCTTTATCAACCCGGTGGGCTCTCCACTTCTTGACATATTTAATAACAGGTTGGAATCAGGATGATTTATGACAGTTCCTCAATATTTACCTCCCCTATATCAGCAGTGTATGACTGATTTTGTAGAATAGCAACCAAGGTGTCCTTGTTTTGCTAACACTTAAACATTTTTCTTCCATAAGTTCATTTAAATGCTTAACTTTCTTTTAGTATTCCTGCAGAAACTGTAGAAGAGCTACATTTTCCAAAGGCATGAAGAGGTTTACCAAACATTTCAGTTAATGAGTTTTCTTCATAGTCTTATCTAAATTTTGGTACTATGAGTCTTTAAATACTTA